GGTGAAACAAAAACATCTGTTTGCAGTATTTATTTTAAATTCTACTTTGAAGTGAATATGGTAGATTTGAACTTCAGGTTAGTAAAGTCTTGAGGAGCTACTGCACATCTTGGCATAGTCTTGCATTACATGAAAATTATATCAGTGTGACAGTATGACACTTTGGATTCCACTACTTATGTGTGTGACCTTTACATTAGACGTTGGGCAAGAATTTATCATGGAGACACTTTTAACATTGTCCTCTGCCAGTCACTGATATCCCTGTTTGTGTGAAAATAGCTTCTTGTGTGCACCTACAACACAGTGACCTAATAGTTAAAATAAGATCAGCAGAGACATAGCCAGGATTTTGGAGATGTTATTATCTGATCTCTTATGTAGACCTGTTGTTCTTGCTAGGACGGCATATTACAAAAAGTTTGGCGGTAAAACAAAGAATAAGCCATGTTTGAAAATGGGCAATAGTTTCGACTTTAAATTAGATACAAATGTAGCAGGTACACAGTCTATAAATAGAAAGATTAAGCTTTGTAATTTTAAAAGCTATGTCCAGTATGTAATCTTTCCCCACATGACTAGTCAGGTGTAAGACTAAGTAGCAGACAGTTCTCAGGAATACATTTGAAAATATGGAACGCTCTTAACAACACGTTTAATTTTGAGTGTGCCATTCATGATTCCTCTTTAGACTTGCATACCCAAATACTACCACTGATAATGTTAAAAAGAAGATAATCATTAGGCATCTCAGTATATTGACGTTTGAAAAAGAACCTATAGTATAAGATGGAACAACCATTAGGTGACGGTGGGAAGGAGAAACTCCATTTTCACAGGAAGGAACCTCTATCAGATGGCTCGGGCAGACGCTGTCATCTGCTGTGACTGGTTGTGAGTGGGGAGAAAGAGGAGAGAAAATGGAGAATGGAGGAAGACAAGAAAAAACACAAACTATGAGGCAAGTCTGGACTTTATTTACTGTAAACCTACTAATGCTTTCACTTTGTGCGAATGTAGGACCTATCCCGGTCCTACATTCAACCATTCATTTGCTTTTCTCTTAATAACCAATATTTTTGTATGCAATGTTTTTAAGCTTTCTTCTTTTCTTACTTACTTTCTTTGTTAAATTCAAATATTTGAATATATTCTTTTTAATTTTGCAGTGCTTTTAAATAATAATACATTTTAAATCTTTGCTTATGTGTCTAAGTGTTGTTTTTTTTGTTAATTTACAACAACATACCAATAACCAAAATGATCAGCAGCAGCAGCATTGACATGTTTTTATTGTACTTTGGCTAAACACATGCAAAAGTAATGACATTGAGCCTCATGTTAAACTAACATAATAAACATCAAATATGTTATATAGTCTGTACATGATCTCAGAATTAGTGTGACAAAAGACAAATTTCTTTTGGCCTGAGATAAAGTTAATGTACTAAAATACAGATGGGTTTAAATGCTTGACCCCTACAGAGGATGTAGTTATGCTGTCGGGATCATTATGTGAGACTTTAGGACCGCTCTCTTGGCCTGGACGAGTGATTGAAAACCTTCAGCTTCGAAGTGACATACATATCTTTTACTAATCTCCAGTGGCTCCCTGTGGCTTTGACAAAACAAAGCAACAAAAAAACACAATTAAACATTTTTTTTTAGTTCTGCATCATTGTTATATGTGTATTATAGACAGAATTTTAAGAAAGAAAATAGTTTTAATATTTTATCAGCTAAAATGTAAAATCTTAGTCCCTGTCTTCAATCTTAGACTCTTAATTTTGTTTATTCTTAGTAAAGGTGCATATGGATGTACATCCTACATACAAATATCTACTCCCATGTCCCCCTATAATTTAACCACAGGCTGTAACTTTATTTAAAAGGCTATGTTACATTTACTATAAGTAAAAGTTGAATAATTGTTGTTGTTGTTGTTGTTGTTGTTGTTGTTGTTGTTGTTGTTGTTGTTGTTGTTGTTGTTGTTGTTGTTGTTGTTGTTGTTGTTGTTGTTGTTGTTGTTGTTGTTGTTGTTGTTGTTGAAAGCAGAGATTTTGTAGCAGCACACTGGACAGAGTTTTCCACTAACATCTTCAACACACCTAAAATGAAGGAATATAATTTGGAATAATCCAGCCAGATGTGGGGCTTAGAGAATCAACACCAAAGCACAATGAAGCTCTTCTTATGACACATACTAAGACACCTTAGTTGATGCTGTCTCATTCACCCTTAAATAGAATGAGTCTAAATGAACATTGCCTAAAAACAAAGTTAGAGTGAACATCTTTCATAAGTCAGTGCTTAAAACATGAAGACTTTATTAATATAATATAATATATCATATTAATAATAATGCAAGCTGATTCCTGTGAATGAAGAGTATGTATGGAGATTTGCCAGTGCTCTTCTGTGCCTTCTTTGCAGGACGGAGGGAGGTCATCTCGGGGTCACACGCTTTGTGACATGCAAGCTTCTCTTGTTTGTAGTGCCTTTGTTTGCTGCAGTGATGTGGGAGGGAAACAGCGACCCTCCCTGTATGTCTGCCAGAGTATCAGTGAGAATCAGCATGGGTGGATCATGAGACACATCACATCACTGCCTACCACCTCTATTTTCTTTCTCGCTCTCTCAAAAAAAAAAAAAAGAAATCAAACAGGACTCAACAAACACAAGGAAAAAAGTATGACAATGACAGCAGTTCTCCTTTTTTTTTTTTATAGAGATAAACAGATGGCATTGTACACACTTGAATTACAAATGATTAATAGTTTCCATGTGACCCAGAATAAGATCATTGGACTGGATGGGTGTTAACCCGATATCAGTTCGGTTACCCAATCCTGTCATGAATTCAGGACTGTAATTATCACTGCGGAAGTGCATCCAAACTGAAACGATATCCTCAGGGTATAATGGAGCCATAATCCCATTATCCCTCCACCGACACACTGTCCTTACCTCCTCACCCTCTTCTACTGTTCTTGATATGTAAATGAGGTGCAAAAATGTAACCTGATCTCCATACGGTGCAAGTATGAGTCATCCTATGAGCCAAGAGACACCAGAGGTGAAGTGCAGTCAAATTTCACTTTATATTTTTTCTTTGAACAGGCCGTGCTAAACCTCTAATTAGAAAAATGGCCAATTACTGTTTCAAAAGACAACTTTAGTTAGAACAAATAACTGACGAAAATAGCAAAATACAGTTATCTTTAGTTCCTTTGCAATGCATATAAACAATGTCACTCAAAATATTTAAGTACATTTCCATACCCCTAATGTGCACCGCTAGAGTAAGAGAAAACCTGTACGCAACAGAAAAACGTCTATGCGTTTCATTGTCTCCATCCAGTGGACAGAGCTCGAAATATCAAGTCTCTCAGCTGTGGTTTGCAGACACTACTTATGAAAGAGGCCACTTTGTTTCGGTCTTTATGCAGTTATCTTTATCCTTGCCACAATGCTCACTTTGAATGGATCTTAAATTATAAATCTATTAGTTGATATGAACAATTTATGCATTTTAAATTTTATTCAGCCTTTACTTTTACTGGACCTTTCAAACAAATTTCAGTATCTTTGCAAGGTAGGATTACTGCGTCATACTGCGTGACACAAAATTATATCTATGAAATTATGTAAGCTCAGGTACCTTGTTAGTACATTCATAACTTAATCCATCCTAAAAACGATATCCGGAAATAACCAATAATAAAAATAAAAGGCTCAATAATAACAACAGCATTATTTTCTTGTATTCAGGACTAATTTTAAGACAAAAAACGTTATGAATGTATTAAGTAACAGTAGGTCAAACCATCTAATTAAATTACACCTTCTGGAAGATGTGGGTGTAATTTTTTACTGAATGGTTTTTTTTATTTTATTTCATACATTTTAGTTACACATACACAGTATTTTTCCATTTCATTTCAGCCATATTGACTCTTCTCCACTTGCCACAGGACAGCAGCTTGGGGACTCCCGTCAATTTCGCGTTGCTCAATAAAATGAAATAAACATGTTCAAAACAAAGAAGCGCTACTTTTTCCGAGGGCTTCGCATGGGCCCTGAACTAAACACGAGGCATGCGCATGGACATGCACACTGACGTCTGGCATGTGGTAACGTAAGGCTTTTTATAACGCGATTATAAAAAACAAACAACTATTTTCTTAGAAACCATGGAAAAACGATCTATAACAAAATCAAATTAATATTTGTCCTATTTTGTTCATTTAAGTGAGCATCAGTGCTGCTTTTAGTTTGTGGAGGTAGTGTATGAAACGTGGGGAACTAGCTACAATTTATTGCCTGAGCGGAGTCTAATATCTGTCAAATCCAACATGTTAGGAGTCACGTTTTTATTTGTGAAAGTATTATTTTTAGGAAAAATTTCATGTTTCCGTCTTGACCTCTAGGGGGAAGTGTTGCATTCTTTTTAGCAGCTGAGCCCTGTTGCTTTATCTTAAAACTCAAGGTTTCCAGGAATACAACCTCATCTGATTTTTGTTTGCATTTCTACATTAGTTCCATGTTCGCTCAATCATATCAGACACCTCAAATACCCGATGGGACACAAAATTAGGCTGCAAGCCTACAAAAATCCCAATCGATACTGCCTGGAGAATAATTTTGTGTTCGCTGAGAGCACTGAAATATCACTGGAAAGGTATTGTATTATCAATCATTTTTGCCCTGTGTTTGTCTTTTCAGTTTTGTTTCATATGCACTGTAGAATGATAGCAAGAGAAAAACACAAAGCAAAGCCAAAAAAAAAAAAAAAAAAAAATGGCGGTAAAACGAAGCCATATGGGAATTCTCTTTTTTTCACTTCTGTCAGGGCTTTCCTTTTTGCTGAAGGAAGCAGCAAGCTTCCCAGAACACTACAGAAAGCACACAGTGCATGTTTGTAAATGTTTAATAAATAACAATATCAACAACAACATTTATTAAAAAAACACTTTTGGTTTTATCAGGCCTGGGTCAAATTGTATTTGCAAAGTTGTGGATTGATTTAGTCTTCTTCAGTAAATGGGCTGCATGACAGTATAATGACTGGCAGAAAAGAAGCTTGACTGTGTTGTTGTGCCAAAAGTCCTAGAGGCTGCTACTCTGTCATAAGCTGAGCTGCAGTTTAAGGTTAAGGCAGGTTTAAGCCTGTGCTTTCTGGAACCAAATCACATGGTCTTTTAAACCCAAGGTCTGTGTCTGTAAAAGCTGCAGCTTTAAAATGTTCCTGTGATTTAGTCTAAACCCAGCAGGCATTAACTAAACAGCAGTGAATGAAACCTTCTGCAATTACCGAATAGCTGTCCAACATAATAAAAAATCAACGTATAAGGACATATTTCTACTTTTAATATCTTCAAGTGTCAAACTAATGTCATAGCGCAGTTACATTAGAGGAGTTTGGGTTGGGAGATCTGTTCATAACAGCTATATATAAACTACTGCAGCATTACAAGTTCAGTTCAGGCCTTAAGCACTAAGATAGCAATTTCATCTGCATCAAAATAAAAGAGAATTATATGAGCAATATTTGTATTTATCAAAAGCGATACTAGACTACAAATGATCAGACACACACAGCATATTGTTTTAGAGGTATTTCTAAATTCTTTGTTGAGCAGTTAGTAATCAAGGAAAGTCAGACAGCTGAAACCAGTTTCCTTAATTACCATTTTCAGAGTCTGAATGACATATGGATGTTTGGAGCAGATCTTATAATCATCATTCATCATGTAAAGGTGCCATTTAGCTGTGGTTCTGCTGCATTTTAGGTCTGTATTTGTAGATGTGGTATAAGTGATAATTTGAAAGTATAAAAGCAAAAGATCATCCGCTTGTACCTGTATGCTCTGCCTTAACGCAATGAACCAGAATTAATCTTTCATGCTTTCTTATACACTATAATGTTCTCCATTTGAATTGCACTGCATCAGCAAATTTACCTCCCGTCTGCAGTTTGGTTTGGTCTTTGTTTCCATTTCCTGTCATTATGGCATCCTGGCATTTGATTGTTGCTCCTGGATGATAAATATTTATTATGCCTCCTATTTACCTTTGTAAATGTATGGAGCTAAAAAGTTTCCATAGAGTAAGAGGGGGGAAATGCTATTGAGGCCATGTTTTATTACACTAAGCTACTACTTTTTCCTAATGTTTTAATTAGTTTGTTTCCATGTTTAGTTTATTTTTGTGGACTATTTAGGTGTATAGTCAGGTAGTATGCACATCAGACCTCCCTTCTCGCTGTTTTCTCCTTTGGAAAATTTATGCGCTTATGAGATGACTTTTTCGGGACTATGCAACGCTTGGAAAATGATGCTACAAAAATTCAATAAATTCACTCATTTGGAGCATGGCGTTGCCACTTTTACATTACTGGTTGGATACACCAAACACAAGAAGTGTATAATAGAATATAATTTTATAATCTGGAGAATTTTTACACCAACAAATTAATTCCAAGCCTTTGGCATTTAAAAGATGCACATGTTTGTGCTTGAAACATCAGATACAGCAATGCTGAAAACAGAGAGGAAATGGTTGGAATGAGCCACAGAGGAAACAGTTGTGCACTTAGTATAGCAAACATAACCCATGAATGTATGCAATATGTGTATATGTACATAAAAATATTTCCTGTCTGTATTTTAGAATATTTTTCAGTGTAATGCTTAAAAGTTATGATAAATCCAGAGCACGCACACTTGTCAAACTGAGCACGTAGCTGCGTATTGAATTTCCATAAGCTGAGTCTGATATAAACCACAGCTAAAATAGATACCGGCACAGCTACACCCCCTGTAGCGTGGTACTTCAAACAGTTAAAAAAAAAAAAAAAAAACCCAAAGCAAACAACCAAAACACAAAACCAGCTGCAGATACTCTTTGACCCAGGTCTGGTGTACATACATGCAGTCTTGATACTTTGACATATACTAATAATTTACTTTGTGCAGAGGTTGAGAAGTTTTTGGTGATAAATTATGTGAAAAAAAAAGTCACTTCTGCCTGCCTGTTTGCTTGTCTGTGTATGTAATGCATTTGGCTTTGTGAATCTGTGTGCGCGTGTCGTAAGTCTTCATTGCCGCCAGGACTTGCGGCTGAGCACGCACACACAGGCCACGTTAATGCGTATGTGTCTCCACGCCACCAGGTTCTGGAATGAAGTCAGCGCTCGCACAAAAGTGTGTGAATTAGTACAGTAGGAGTTCCAGTGTCTCGCATCAATTCCTAAACAGCCTGAGCTGCCTGATCGAGGGCTATGACATGTCGTCTCGAAGAAGTACTGCTTCATGTTGACATTGTTGATTTTCACGTCTGGGAGGACTGTCACCTCTCTGCCTAAGGTGTCCGTGGCTTTGGTCTTGTTGACCACCCAGACACTAATACTCTCACATACTGAGTACATCCCGCGGTGTTGAGGCTGCCCTGCTTGCCTTCGGGTCCTTCTGCCAGCACTCTGTGACCCCGATGGCTCTGCATCAGGGGGCTGAGAGCTAAAAAGCACTCTGGGTGAGAGGTAGTGGCGCTTGGTGAAGAGTTTGGGATCAACAACCGGGATAGAGTCTGGGTTGTCACTTGGAGTGTTTTCCTGTGCCGCTGTGGTGGTGGTGTACAAGTCCCCTCTGGTTGCGGCCACAGCCTGGGCACTTAAGAAGAGGAACAGGACCAGCATGGACGACCTCATGGGCACACGACCTGAGGGTGTCAATAAGAACGGAAAACACATAGATGTTACAGCGGATATGAAACATTACATATGAAACATAGAGCTTCTTCAGCAGACATGTAGTAACATCAACATTAATATGTATAGGATGCTTCCAAGTGATATTCCCTTTCTTTTGTTTTCTTTTCGGTATCCAGTAACTCCTGAGGGAACTAGGTGGTTCTTTAGCAGTTAACGCGTTTTTGTTGTGCTCACCATACGTATTATATCACTGTTTATGGGCTTCCTGAAGCCGTGACAGGTGGAGGTTTGAAAACGAAAACAATGAAAAATGCTATAATGTTCTTTAGAGTTGTGGGGAGGTGTAGAATGTAATTGATCACCAATTATTTTGTATTGTATGCAATTAACATGTATAATTTTGCAGTTTTAAAATTATGTGAATGTTCTTTTGCTTACCTAGATAAAAATAGTGAATTTTAATTTTTTTTTTTTTTACACAATGTAGTATTAATCTCCACATGCACTTATTCAATCCTCAACATGTTGAACTGTGAGATTCCCTTTATGTACGTGCATGCTGGAGCTCTTGTTCAAAGCAGAAGAAACCCCAAACATCTTTCCTGACATTAAGTTTGATGACTTACCGTTAACAGTTTTTACATGCACTATTTATTAAAAGTCTGTGTTTGGCATTGCTAAGGGTGGAGTCTGCAAATCCTGATTAGGCAGCTGCTGCCAAGGCTGCAGAGTCCTTGAGCTGATTTATACATGTAAACAGAAAGCAGTACAATGTTTCATATCTAATTTAGCAATAATATAAAAAAATTACTAACTCAATTACATCCACAAGATGACAGTGAACTCTCTTAACAATCTGTGGCTGCCTGAAGACATTCTCTGGAGTTACTTCATGTGTACACCATTTATTGTCCCAGTGATCACTGCAGCAGGCTATGGCTATGAGTCACGCACACTGTTGTATTCCCTCTCTTTTATTTCACACAGGATGTGATAGATTTTTTAAATTGATAACATGTGAATTGTGGATATTAAGCAATGGTGAGTAAGGATAGCCCAGGAATTTCCTATCCATGAAGGTCTTAGAGGTTTTTATTCTTAATTCTGAGCTATTTAAGACCACTACAACACTCGTATTTTCTTGTATTTTTCCTAGTGATAGCAGTGCACTTTAGTGGCTGCGGCAGTTATGAAGTGAGAAAGTCAGATGATGTGGTGCACAGAGCTGAATGAATGACAGTTAAGGTTGAGTTGCAGGAATGGGTGAATGGGTCAATAAAATGCCAGACTTTAATATAGAAGACTGTTGTTTGTTTACTGCAGTTCATTTCCTTGGTCAAACCCTCATTCAGTGTCTCCTAAAAGCAGTGTTTTCCAACCATTCTTATGGCACATAGGTGTGCCGTGAGAAATGATCAGGTGTGCTGTGGAAGATTATTTGGTTTCACCTGACTGGTACACCAAGCGACCGGTGTGAGTAACGGGAAGAACAATTATATTCTCTTCCACCAGAGGACAGTACAACTTCTTGCTCCAATTTAATGGGTTACCAACTGCCTTTATAACCGAAGAAGACGAATAAAAAATTACTTAGTCATGTTGCAAGTGAGATAACTCAGCATGGAGTTGCAAAAGGTAAATATTTGAAAAGAAAAAGTAGTCAGTCTGACCTGGGTCCTGGAGAAAATTCCAACCCAGATGAAGGTGCTAGTGTGAGTAGTGGTCAGAATAAAGCAAAAAAGGTATACTGGGAGGAGACTCAAATCCAGCCTCTGGGAGTCACAAGCTACCAGGTCCAGTGATCAATGAGGAAAGAGGAAACCTTTATGGATACTTGTGATTAAGACTAAGAAAATAAGAGGAAATTCCTGCACCATCCTTACTAAATTATCATTTTGTTTGGTGATGTGCCGTGTGATTTTTCTAATGTGAAATATGTGTGTGGGAAACACTGTTCTAGAGTATGACCACTCAACAACCTGGTTTTATTGTTGTAAACCTGATACTCTTCTTTCAAGGTTTGTGAGCTGAAATGAAACTTAACTGATGTGAAAAATACTTGCTTTATTTGCCCCTTTCAGTAAGACTAATCCGTGGATACGGGTTATTTGACTTGGGTTGAAGGACTAGTTGGAGAGATTATAAGTCCCATATTTTGTACTGTCTGCTTCTTTAATTCCCAAGAGATCACCACAGTGGATAGATACACGTTTATTTGGGACAGACTTTGTGCCGGATGCTCTTCCTGACATTTCTATTTGTGTGGACTTGGGACTAGCATTAGCTTGTGACTCCCAGAGGCTGGATTTGTGTCTCCTCCTGCAGGTTTTACATATCACCCTGGGTCAACACACCTGAATCAAATGATTAGTTCGTTACCAGGCCTTTAGGACATGTTGAAGAGGTAATTTAGTCATTTAAATCAGCTGTGTTGCATCAAGGACACATTTAAAACCTGCAGGACACTGGCCCTCGAGGCCTGGAATTGCCCACCCCTGATCTAAATTGTCCAAAAAAATGTACACAGTACTGTTTATTAAAAAAAGGAAAACTAGACAGAAACAGTGCTGAATTAAATGGTGGAAAATTGAAGAATAACATACCCAAAAAAAACAAAATTACCCATCAGAGTAGGCGTGACACATAGGGAAATATATAATTGACATTAATGTGACGTGTTTGATGTCATTTTCTTTTCATCGTGTCATGACTCACCACAAAACACAGAACAGAACATCTGTGCTTAATGGCTTTTTTAAGTTGACAGGCTGTGTCCTTCATTTAATACAACAGGAATCACAGGCATGTCAACACCTGTGATAGCTACAATAGCAGGCTCTGTTGGGTAGGCTTATTATATGCTGTGTTTGCCTCAGGTAGCAGGGTGAGCACTTGTGGATTAAAATTGTTGGCAAAACAAATCAAAAGAAAAACTATAGCCTGTGCAACAATACATAATGTGAGCTAGAACTAAAATATTATAGGTTTTTAAGGTCTGTCTAGTTCAAGTTATTGATACCTGGTGCAACATTTTGACATGACAAAATCATTACTGCATCATTGTTGGAAATAAACAGACAAAGGCAGTGAAGATATGCCACACCTCTTTTTTTTCTTTTCTGCCTTTAAGTGCCAATTTAGATTACTTTAGGGGACAGAGGAAGATCACTTTATAGCATAGCATAGCAAACATCACACAGACTAAATTAGCAAGGAAAAAGCTTAAGATGAGAACAATATCTTCCCAGGAGCAGCATTGCTTATAGTAACAAGAAAAGTGAAAGACCAGCAACAATGCGGTGTCTATGTTCTCTTTTAAATTCAAAATTATACAGACATGTCAGGGCTAATTTGACATTCGTAAACACATTAATGGCTCAAATGTACCCAATGTGTGACATGGCTTATTGGCACATTGAAATTGAGCAGAGTCAATTTTTTGTAATGTTTCAGATTTTTGGAAGTGGGGGAATAACACAGGAAAATAAGTGCTGATAAGCTTAAAAAAGAAATTTCAGAGCTGAGTGAAACAAACAAAGAAACTGCCACCGGTGCACCAGTATTGTAAAATGCCTAATCTAATACCTCCAGATGATTTCGTATTTAACCACATTCATATCTTCTATTTTTTATACTTTGGTTATTGTCTAATATTAAAATGTGTTTAATATTATAATATGTACGCGTGGCACATATGCACACAAAAAAAGAAAAAACAGAAATGGGACAAAAACTTTTGACAGCACTATAAACCTACAGGTCTAGAAGTAGCAGCTGTTGCTACCACACAAACCGTAATTAAAATAATCTAAAAACCATAATCTCTCTTTGACATCTGGCTACATATTTTCCAGCTTTTTCTGCACATCAACGTTTAAATGAAAATGTAAACACTGGCTGTACTGGTCTCCATATTTACTTCTGTGCAAGAGCAAATGTGAGTGACACCTTTGTTATTGTTTTTCGGCACATGCAGGTCAGTTCAGGACAGTGACCAGTTTACACTGGAATCTGATATTAGCAGCACTGAATGGATAATGTGAAAAAAACAAAAAACAAACAAACACTGAGGATGCAGTGTGAACACAGCCATGCTGAATAAGCACAGTGTTGCTAGCTTTACATATGTATTATCTACAACAGACATCTACAACAAAACAAGACAAACACATGAAAAAAACTGATCTGTTTCGAGACTTGTTTGCATTTACACATATATATACCTTTTCAGTGTATGCACGTGAACTGTACCACCTTTGTGGCTCCTAGAGGATGTGATTAGAGTTCTGTGTGTTATGGGCACCTCCTGCCATGAGGCCTGGCTGTGGCTGCCATCCAGCACACCTCTGCCTCTTCAATCCTGTTGACAGACAAGTGGAGAAATTGTCTTAGCCAGCTCGTAAACCCACTGTAAACACATTCTTTACAAGACAAATAAGGGAAGAGAACATTAATGTGTTTTCTGCTCTCACCACATCGTTACATACTGAAACATATTGAAATCAAGAAGCAGACCTCCATCATGTACATTATTCTAGGGGGTGGAAATGGCGTGTTAGTTTAACGTTAACACAATAACATTTGTCTGAATTCTTGGACACATGAGCTTTGACAGATTTTCTAGACTTAAACAGTCTTGTACCTTCAGACAGATAGCCTCAAACATTTAAACTTGAATGAATATTTATGAGTAAGTCAGAACCAGATCACTATGGAATTTGGTATTTTGTACAGTATATGAGTGCATAACAGAATATTTAGACACTCTAAGCCATTGTGATAAATCAAAACATCAGTTTTACTGTCTCGTCTCGCTCTATTTTATCACTGCATTTTATTATTGATTTGATTTGGTACAGACAGCCGCAATTCATTTTTGTGCAGTGATGAAAGGCATTTGAGCTTGATCATCCATCACACTAACCAGACGCAGAACATTTGTTCCTGTTGCCATATTACTGTACTCGTGGGTTCTAATATTAAACCTGCCAAGGAGAAAATATTTAAGAGCTCATTCCAGAAAACACTGTGTCCCGAAACTTAATTGTAAACGTGTTTTCATTTTAAGCTATGCCTTTAAATCATGGTTGAGCAAGTTAAAAACAGTAAGATATGGCACGTGTGCAAAATGACAGAAATGTAAGCAGCTTATATAAACAGAAGTAAATGGGTTGTTAATCAAAATTACTGTGGCGTGCTCCTGTGCAGAATCTGCAGCAGCACAGGAACTGTTCAGCATCTCAAAAGAGCTTTTCTCCACCTGTCAATTCAACTTATGACCCTGTAACAGCAGCATGAGCTCTTTTAGAAACAGGAAGCTCACTAAAACTAGACAATAAAGTTATAAAATTCTGTTTTGGTAATGTCAGAATTTGACATAAACAACATGAAAACATAAATACCCTCCCAATGAAGACAACATTGACTTCATTGTCATACCAACAATAGATAACAGTAAATAACATTTCTATTCATGGAAATTAACTTTTGATATATGAAATCTCCTGCAGTTTGAGGTTTTCTCCTTCAGAAAAGAAGTTTTAAAAACAGCAAATTAAGTTAGCTAAAATTTGGTTTTAAACAATCTAACAAAAATCCAGATACAGGGAGTGCAGAATTATTAGGCAAGTTGTATTTTTGAGGAATAATTTTATTATTGAACAACAACCATGTTCTCAATGAACCCAAAAAACTCATTAATATCAAAGCTGAATGTTTTTGGAAGTAGTTTTTAGTTTGTTTTTAGTTTTAGCTATTTTAGGGGGATATCTGTGTGTGCAGGTGACTATTACTGTGCATAATTATTAGGCAACTTAACAAAAAACAAATATATACCCATTTCAATTATTTATTTTTACCAGTGAAACCAATATAACATCTCCACATTCACAAATATACATTTCTGACATTCAAAAACAAAACAAAAACAAATCAGCGACCAGTATAGCCACCTTTCTTTGCAAGGACACTCAAAAGCCTGCCATCCATGGATTCTGTCAGTGTTTTGATCTGTTCACCATCAACATTGCGTGCAGCAGCAACCACAGCCTCCCAGACACTGTTCAGAGAGGTGTACTGTTTTCCCTCCTTGTAAATCTCACATTTGATGATGGACCACAGGTTCTCAATGGGGTTCAGATCAGGTGAACAAGGAGGCCATGTCATTAGTTTTTCTTCTTTTATACCCTTTCTTGCAGCCACACTGTGGAGTACTTGGACGCGTGTGATGGAGCATTGTCCTGCATGAAAATCATGTTTTTCTTGAAGGATGCAGACTTCTTCCTGTACCACTGCTTGAAGAAGGTGTCTTCCAGAAACTGGCAGTAGGACTGGGAGTTGAGCTTGACTCCATCCTCATCCCGAAAAGGCCCCACAAGCTCATCTTTGATGATACCAGCCCAAACCAGTACTCCACCTCCACCTTGCTGGCGTCTGAGTCAGACTGGAGCTCTCTGCCCTTTACCAATCCAGCCACGGGCCCATCCATCTGGCCCATCAAGACTCACTCTCATTTCATCAGTCCATAAAACCTTAGAAAAACCAGTCTTGAGATATTTCTTGGCCCAGTCTTGACGTTTCAGCTTGTGTGTCTTGTTCAGTGGTGGTCGTCTTTCAGCCTTTCTTACCTTGGCCATGTCTCTGAATATTGCACACCTTGTGCTTTTGGGCACTCCAGTGATGTTGCAGCTCTGAAATATGACCAAACTGGTGGCAAGTGGCATCTTGGCAGCTGCACGCTTGACTTTTCTCAGTTCATGGGCAGTTATTTTGCGCCTTGGTTTTTCCACACGCTTCTTGCGACCCTGTTGACTATTTTGAATGAAACGCTTGATTGTTCGATGATCACGCTTCAGAAGCTTTGCAATTTTGAGACTGCTGCATCCCTCTGCAAGATATCTCACTGTTTTTGACTTTTCTGAGCCTGTCAAGTCCTTCTTTTGACCCATTTTACCAAAGGAAAGGACGTTGCCTAATAATTATGCACACCTGATATAGGGTGTCGATGTCATTAGACCACACCCCTTCTCATTACAGAGATGCGCATCACCTAATATGCTTAATTGGTAGTAGGCTTTCGAGCCTATACAGCTTGGAGTAAGACAACATGCATGAAGAGGATGATGTGGACAAAACACTCATTTGCCTAATAATTCTGCACTCCCTGTAGAAGCAAAAGGTCTGTTTAATTCACAATTTTTCTTCTATTGTCAGTAATTCCCTGAAAACATAATATTGGACTTTGGCTTCCAAAGGATACATTGGTCAGTTTCTAAAAGGTCTATATGTGCAGTAGACTGCTGCTATGAATTTTAACAATGGTACCTACTCTTGTGTTGAATTGGATAAACTTTTCAAAGTTTCAAGCTACTTAACAATACTATATAAGAGTAGTATATAAATGTATATCCATGTAAAAGCGAAAACTATAAATCAACCAGTCCTTTGTTCAAGTAGGGCTGGGCCATATCATGCCGTTCACGGTAATGCCGGTATAATGTTAGGTAATGATAAGAAAATTAAATATCGTGATAGAATATGGGTAAAATGCACATGCGCAGTGCCTTTGTTTTCATACACACATGGCAGAAAAAGCATGGTGGTGACGCAGAATGAGAAGGGCAAACGCGGATCGTTGAATGAAACGGATGAACCAGAATTGGTTTGTAAAAATGTGCAACTTCAGTGGTGTGGAACTGGTTTGGCTTTCATCTGTCAGATACACACCAAAGCACAATTTTTGGTAGAGCACGCAAGTGGGCCTTGGTTATTAGTGTGTTTTTCGGAAAATAAGTCGCTCTTAAAATCCTTTGATTTTCTGAAAAATCAACAGTGCCCCTTATAATCCGGTGCTCCTTATGTATGAATTCTGGTTGTGCTTACTGACCTCGAACCAATTTTATGTCGTACATTTTATGTCAAAAAATGTTTTAGTACGACTTTAAGCTACAAACCCGCACCGCTTGATGGATTGTTGGAGCATTACAGCTATTGTAGTCAGGAGCCTTGCGGAGTGATACGTACTGTGCTTCAACATAATATTACCGTATTGTGTGTGTGTATAACCTCTTTTTAAGTTTTGTGGATATTATACATGGTTATGCTCAGGATATCTTGGCCAATTTCCACTGGAAATGCCTTTTGGTTAAACTGTCAGCAAGGAATTTGCATAAAAAAACAGCTGCTTGTTTAAGTGAAAATACATTGAGGGATTTATTTATTTTGTCTTGCGTCAGTTATATCGTCAGTTATATCCTTATCGCAAATTTTCAAATAGATATTGCGATGAATATTTTTGGCCATATTGCCCTGCCCTATGTCCAAGTGCAAACAGGGTTGAGAAGTTTGGTTAGTTTTACTTAAAGCTGGGCTTGACAGCAATGGACATTTAATGTGATAGGTGTCAAATTACTCTGAGCTCTAAATGTGCCTAGGGGATTTTGAGGTGAATGGTACACTGAGCATATACAACATCATGCCATGACTTAGAGTTGGATGTCTCAAGACCGGTCTCGAGACCATTTTTACGTGGTCTTGGTCTTGTCTTGGTCTCAGATCGCTCAGTCTTGTCTTGGTCTCGCTGTCTCTATCTTGCTGTCTCAGATCGACATAGTGGTTGGGAGATTTGGAGTCAACAAAATCCATGACACACAACGTAACATTCGATAATGTGTCATGCGCAAAAGCATCAGCTCTAAGAGCCGTGCTTAGAGAGTGCTTTGTAGTGAATCAGAAGAGCCGACTCCCATTGAGCGAGAGCCGGCTCCTCACTTAATTTCCTTTCGCTGCTCAGCTCTCACACAGTGGCTCAGCTATGCTCCAATCCCTCCCGATTGTAGCCAATCACATGCGAGGATATAGGATAATATCATTATGTGAAAAACAGAGAGGGTGAGAGACGCGACAGTCAAGTGGAGCGTGCGTCTGTCCTCTCAGTAAGTGAGTGAGACAGTAGACAGCGGTGAGGAGGGCTGTGAGTGCATTGCAAAAACATTAATATGCCTGACACCCGTAAATGAAGCAGCATCTGGCTGCAGTTTAAAGACTTTTTTGTCTTGGTCTCGGTCTTAGTCTCGTCTCGACGTTGTCTTGGTCTTGACTCGGTCTGTATTGGTCTTGATACCCTCTGGTCTTGGTATTGTCTTGGTTTAGGCGGTCTTGACTACAAGTCTGCCATGACTTGAATAAAATAAGTGTAAATCTTTAATGAACTTGTGATCATAGGAGCAACTTGCTTTGCCCAAAGGCCCCTTTTCAAGATGACAGGAGGCTGGGGGCCAGCTAATAAAGAAATGCCCATTCATTTTCTTAACCTTTTATCCAGTTCAGAATTACAGGTGATTTAAGCAACAAAGAGAGCAC